GCATACATGCCAAGTTTGAAGCCGTTTGGCCTACGTCCTAGAGGATGTCGATCAAATATAGAGGCTAAAAATGCAAAATCACAGTCAAAATTTGAAATTTGATCCAAGATGGCGGACTCCATGAGCATAATTTAGTATGACGTTAATTGACTTATTTGTAAGTGTGAGGACGCTCTACAAGTGTGCCAATTTTCATGTCTCTATGAGAAAAAAAGGTCAATGGGGAGGGTATTTTGAAAATTTTAAGGGGGCGCTGTTGAGGCATCTGGTTAGCAATTTTTACGGGGCCATTAAAATACGTAAATTTTCACCAGGTCTGATGCGTCTGCAAACTTTGGTGAGTTTTGGAATATGATAAAGCCTCCAAAAAGCCATTTTATTTGTAAGGAGAAAAATAATAATAAACACTACAGATACAATAGGCTCTCGCAGCAGCGCTGTCGCTGCTCGGGCCTAATAATAATAAAAAGAAACTTTCGAAATACAATAGGCTCTTGCAGCCTTCGCTGCTCGGGCCTAATAATAAACATTCGAATTACAATAGGCCTTCGCAGCGCTTTGCTGCTCGGGCCTAATAATAATAATAATAATAAGAAACTTTCGAAATACAATAGGCTCTTGCAGCCTTCGCTGCTCGGGCCTAATAAGAAACTTTCGAAATACAATAGGCCTTCGCAGCGCTTTGCTGCTCGGGCCTAATAAGAAACTTTCGAAATACAATAGGCCTTCGCAGCGCTTTGCTGCCCGGGCCTAATTAAATGCAGCACAGAAAGGAGCAGAGGCCAGCAGGGGCAGTACAGACAAACAGAGCAGAATCAAGGCAATTTCCACAAGGGGTTTTCTACAGAACACCACCTATTCTAATAACATTGTCTATCATGCCGTCTGTACATCTGTTGCCTGTTGTTTTATAGTTAACAACATAGCAGTTAGCCATGATTAATTTACCATCATTTCCTGGACTCTTACATGAGACCCGTTAGTGGCTGTAGGTAGTATAACGGGCTGTTATACTGCCATATCATACTGCCGCAGAAGTGTGTCGCAGTGAGCTTGTAGCGGGTATGATGCAGACATTTTTGATTTAGACTCAATTTTTAAGTTTTTTCTGCGCTGTATTATTCCACGCCACAATGCAAGAGGGACAATCACAGACTAGCTGTGGGTCTAGATACGGCCGATGCGGTGAGGAGGGGCGGGTAAGTTTGTCCGACAACGGAGGGACATGAGGGTGAAAAAGAGCGGGGATCCAGGTGGAAAAAGGGTCCCAGCGTTCTCACGCACCTCACTGTTCTAGCTGATCCAACTTCACGAGTCATTTTCCGCAATGTCGGTCATACAAACAAAACAAGCCGGTAAGATACTAAAGAGGAAATACGCATAGTGTAGAGCGGATGTAGATTTGACCAATCAGAGGCCTCTTGTCGGTGGCACTGTCTGCAGTCACCTACAATTTGGGAGAGGTGCAGCAGAGTGTCTGCAGAAGGGGTGGGGACGTCCCTGCGTTTACTGCGGAACACCTACGCAGATGACCTAATTTTAAAGTATTAATCAATGGTAGAGAGCTCTCCCACATTCTTCTGGTTGGTTGTGCACCATTAGGTATTTGTTGGATGCTTTTCCACTATCAAGCCACCGTAGGTCTAATCTGGACTTCATCAGGAGCTTTTTTTCTTTGAGGAAAGCGTGCCTTTGTGGGCTTTTCTGGTTTGCACAGCAAGCCCACAGGAGAAATAGAACACATTCATGCTCCAGAGTTTTTTCGGCAGGTTTTAACTGAATCACAACAGACTCTTTAACATAAAAAGTCAGATTTCCAGGTGATGAGTCCTTTAAAAAAGACGCAAAAGGATGTGAGATTCATAGTTTCAGAGGTGTGACTTGACAAGAATTTTGACTCAGGACTTTTTAAAAAAATGACCTGGTCCTAAGCCTGGGATGAGATCCAGGAAAAGGGACTGAAATGAGCTTCCTCAGTTGGATATCCTGCCTTAAAAAGTAGGTAAGAACTTCATTGGTCAGTGATTTGATTGAACAGAGCATCTAAGTTACTGCTACAGTAGTAACCATTCAAAATACCCCCACCTTCCTTGATGGGTCCTTGGCTGGTCCCCTACAATTCCTTTTTAAACCTCAATCTTTGTACTAAAATATCCTTTCTGTCATGATTTGTGGACATTAAGATCTAAAGAGAATCACCTTCTTCTTGTCAGACCCTGTAATTCAGTGAAAGGGTGAAATCAGAGTAAAAAAATATGCACACCCAGGGGGAGAAAGGAGCTGATATACCTGTGAACCTACATCCGATGAGAAAAGAAAATTGATGGATAGACAAAGGTTGTATGAAGGTAATGGTGACTTACCGATCCACACTGATGGCACAGAGGTTTAGGATGGAGGCGGTGCAGAGCATCACATCCATGGTCATCAGAGCATCACAAATGGAGGTGCTCAGGGTCCAGATTCCTCCTAGGAACTGTACACACATTAATTCACTGTCACTGCGTCTTATAAAAAAGACAGACCTCCACTGGTTCCACATAAAACACCTGACTGACCTCCGAGTAGACGTAGAGAGGCAGCACGAGCACAGCCAGCAGCAGGTCAGCTACCGCTAGGCTGATGATGAAGTAATTGGTGGCGGTCTTCAGTGAGCGCTCGGTGAGCACGCTCAGACACACCAGGATGTTCCCCAGGATGATGACAAGGATCAAGACGATGCCAAGCACCAAGACCAGGTAGTTGTAGTCCATCAGGCTGGTGTCACCTGGGGAGCCGCTGGGCGTCACATTTTCCATTATGGAGAGTTTAGCTGCAGGTTTTGTCCTGGACTTAACATCTGAAAAACACTGAGTTAGTATGGGGAGGTTTATAAGGGGAGAATACATTCAACAGTGTGTATGAAGGAAAGCGTTCACCTCGCTGGTACGGCGGTCAAGTGAGGACTCAGGTCAGTTTCAGGCCCAGAGGTTCGACATACTCCATCAGATCGTTTTAGGTGCTCTTTTCTCACCATCATCGGTCTGCCAGTGGTTTGGTTCTGTCTGTCAGCCAAGGGTGGAAAGAAGGTTTATTGTTACTCCATTAACCCTCCTTCTCCAGAGTCAGACCTCCAGGGTCTCAGCTAGAAACTAGTGTTGCGCCAATGCCATTTTTTGGCCCTGATACCTGGCTGTGCAATATTGGCCGATACCGATACCATCTGTTTTAAATATATGTGTGTGTGTCTATATATGAAGAACTGCATACTAGTTGGATGTAAAATAATTGCCATCATGGCTTTTTGAAGCTGATGCCTGCCTTTGTGAAGCTGGAAAAAAAAGACTAAAACAAAGTGAATCCAGTAGAACTTTTTATTGCCTACCTGGAATGCGTGACAATAGTTGAATAAGCTTTTGGCTCTAAAAATGATATCGGTGCCCTATTTGTTGGTACTCCACGATACCGATACCACCATTTTAGTGCTGGATCGGGGCCCTACCCGATACTGGTATCGGTATCGGTGCAACAGTACTAGAAACTATAGAAACATTAATGACCCTCAAACCGTTGCCAGAGACATAAATCCAGAGGAATTACAGATGTTTTTTTAACTAGTTTGGATCAAAGTTCAGCCGTCGTGCAGATAGACTCACTTTTGACTCCGAATACCAAGCGACAATTTCCTCTTTTCATCCTCAGTTCTGTTTGCATGTCCTGTTTTTGGTAAAAGTTTAGTTTCAAAAGAAAGCCAACACCACAGCTGCTGTGGTTTCAGAGAAAAAAGCAAATGGAATATAGAAACGAGAAAGGTATTATGCCTCGCCTGATTTTTTTAATGCATTTTACAGAAAAGAAACCTTGTGGGAATTACAGAGGTTAAATCAAAGACATCTCTATGTGTCCTGCCTTTAGAGGAAAAGTCTGGTCAGCAAGGAATAATCAATGGGTCATTATTTATACCTATAACTAACACGTTCACAATGATTTAATGAATTCAGCATTAATCAGTAAAAAGATAAAAATAATAATTTTCGTTGCGATCACTGAGTCTGGGAGCGACCATTTTTGCGCAAATATAGTAACACCTCCCTCCTGCCATTTTCCAGCAGTGGCGTCACGGTGCGGTAAGCCTAGCACCATTCTCCCCGCTTTACAAGCAAAATCAATGGGAACTACTAGACACATCTGCAATCTACAACAATTATTGAAGATTTCCAGAGGACTTCACCATTGAAATTCACCAGAGCTATAGTGAAACTGACAATGCCCACGTGCATGGCAGCTGGATGTTGGAATACATCGGGTAAAAGTGAAAAAGATTAGTTATTCCACCTTTCCGATTCCTGATCCTCCACGGACGGGTTCATCGTTGGATTGCCAACTTGAAGAGGGAGGATTTGCCATCGAACTTCTGGCCAGAGAAAAAAACACGTAATATGTAGCAAACATTTGGAAGAAGAATGTTTTCAAGATGGCTTGGATAATAGCACGTTGTGACAAACACCAGATACAGCACTGGGACTTGATCAACAGCCGATACCGCACCGTGACGTCACAAACCACTAGGTGGCAGTAGTGTTCTTTGACAAACATGGATGCCTCCAGTAAAGCACATTCAAATGAAATTATTCGTATTTACTATTTATTCGTATCATTTATTGAATAGTATGTAATAATTTCCTTATTTAAGTACTTTCAGAGGTTTGTATACTGAATATGACCGGACTTTTCCTTTAACATGACCATTCAGTTTTTACTTCCGAAAAGTTCAGTTTTTTTAAGTCATTCTACTTTTCAACAATGGTTACTGTTCTGATATTTTTGTGGTTCTGAATCAGTAAATCTTTGCTATATTGAGGTGAAACTTGTACATTTGGATCCTGAGAGATCTCTGCTTAGAGCAGATGTGCTGGTTGTTGGGTTTGCAGCGACCTGGAGAGCCTTTAAAAAAAAAATATTCAACTGCATTTGCCTGTGCTTTATATTTAAATTAATTGTTTATTTTAGCTTTAAGCCAAGATTCTGATATATCTGTGGATATTACATATGTCTATGTTAAAGTATGGAAGTTTCCTGGAACGAACCTATGAAGGAATGAAAGTGAAACTCACTGGGGCTCAAGAAGTTAAAGGTCATGACCCTGTAGGGCTGTTTGGAATGGGATGAAGGAGGTAAATGTGAGTCCATTTGGCCAACAGCTAAAGCTTGGTCCAATCTGAGTCATTAACAGAACAAGTTGACCTTCAGGGCAGAGAAGGAACTCCAGCTTTAGACACGGTGGCTCCTTCTTATCCTGCCCCTGTAACTTAACCATCAGCTCCATCAAACTGAAACAAAGTGTGACTTCATCCCATCTACACCCTGTATCACAGTGTCCTCATCAGCAGAGGGTCTGTCTCCATGGAGCCCTGAGGGAGCAGATGGCATGCTGGGAGACATTAATGTCAGGAAGGCTGCAGCAGAGGCTCTCCTCTGATGGAACAGATGGACGGAGGTGTTTCAGAAAAGAGCTGATTGTTCATCTCCAGCCTCCTCTTTCATCCCAGCAGGAGGAAGACGCTCACTCAGAACTTCACCACTGTGTGTTCACCTGGACCCAGAAAAGCCCTCATCATTATCAGAAATAAAACAAACTACAGGATGCAGCAGGAAAAAATCTCTGATCCCTTAAGACATCAAATGCACATCAGAAAAAGGATCAAATGATCAGTTACTGGTTTAACTGGCTGCTTTCCGCCTGCAGTGGGAGCAGCTGTCAGATGCTCCAGATGTTTGCTGGAAGAATGAACGTCATCAAGCAGTTCCTGCAGCCAGGCTCTCTGATGGAAGGAGGCTGGATCATGGTTTGGGTTCAGATCATGGCCTCTAAGGGAAGAGGCCATGATCTGAGCCCAATACCTCTTTATCACTTTAGTTTATCCCCGTTTATTCCTTCAGTTTATCCCTTTAGGTTTGTACGAAAAACAAACTTTAAACTACCTCAACAGGCGTGTATCCCTTTAGTCATGGACAAAAAAAAAAACAATTTAACTACGTATTTTTGGTGTTTTTTGAAGTATATGGTGATCTGACCTCAAATAGTTTTTTTTGTACATGACTAAAGGGATACATGCCCGCCGAGGTAGTTTAAAGTCTATTTTTCGTAGAAAACCAAAGGGATAAACGCCATTCTGACGTCTTGCACATGCGTATTGACTGTGGGAATGCTGGTCTGACGGGGTATGCTCATCTGACAGAACACAGCAGAATTTAGGATCCCGTCCACAAAGATTCCTCCTTTAACTGAAACCGTCAGAGATATTTGAAAGAAGAAAGACCAAGATCTGATGCTCTTCACAACATGGCGTCCTGCAGGTCAGAACCCACGCAGGAATGGGTCCATTACTGATGGAGATGTTAGAGATTAAATAATGCTCAATTGGAACTGATCAACTATCTTTCAATGGAAGTCGGTTCTTATGTCAGGTTCGGGTGGACTCCTCAAAGAAGAGAGACTTTCACAGGGGGCAGACATGTTTGGTCAGAAACCATAACAACAAGAAGGAAGAGGGTCTAGAGTGTGTCACCATGGAGGCGGATGGAAGGGGCGGAGCCTCAACAGGCATAAAGCTGCAAAATTATTATAAAAGCTATATAGAAATCTCTAGAATTAAGGTTATTGTGGAGGATCTTTTAAGAGAACCTCTCCATTTTAAAAGAAAATGCGCAGGCGAGAGCGTGCACAAGCCCATTTCTCCTCGTGCACCTCCTGTTTAAAATGTGCTATTCTCACAGCTCCTACTGTGTCCACTTACAGCTGAGATTATATAGTGGACTTTATAGTGAACTCGGTTAACTGACCGTTTTGACAGATGATCACTGCTTTTTGATGTCATATAACTCCTCCTCCACTGCCCCGTTGTTGTTATTAGTCAACAACGTCGGGTAGCAACAGCCTATGGCGACAGGGGACCACTGTGACAGAACATCCCATAATGCTTTGCAAAGAGAGCTCTCCGCACAAAGCATTCTGGGATATATTGAGGCCTTTGTTTTCTTTTCATACACTTAGATACTTTTTCTCTAACAACCCTCGGCTATTTTTAAAGAACCGTGGTGAGAAAGGTGAGCTTCAATGACTGTCTGAAACCGTAGCTTCCCAACAGATATTCGTCTGAAAGTGCGCATGCGCAGAAAAAGACAGCTAACGTGACGGGCACGTAGGACGGATTTACGTAAACATCACCAGAATGACTGACAATTAGGAGGACCACTTATTGAGATGATCCACCCGGAAATAAAAGACCATCCTCTGTACCTTTAAATATATTTTCTCTTAATTTGAGATCTAATGATGGAATCCGGATTCTCACACTTGAAATAAGATCAAGCAATATTTTGCATCAGAAATAAGATAATAAAGTTTTTTTCTTTTTTTAAACAAAAATCATCTTTTTTATTTTGTGAATTGTTTCATCTACCTGCTGAAAATAAGGTAAAATCAAAATATAAAAAAAAAAATGTACTTAGATTTTAGCTTTTGCAGTGTGGTCTGACCTGAGGCACCGTCTCTCATGTGGAGCAACAGGAAGTGACATAAAGGAGCAATGAGGTCATCAGGTTATGATGTTCTGAGGTAACATGACAAAGAGGAGAGTTTTTTTTTTATCATTAATCTTTTCATTATCACAAATTAGTTTAGCACATCTGTCACATCTGCTGCTCTGTAATCTGTTGAAGAGATGAGCTCCACAGCTGGGTGGAGGTCATCCTTTCACAATAAAAGCCTCCTGGTCTGCTTCTGAAAGGACATGGTTTGGTTCAGTGTCGCCCTGAGAGGCTTTTTCTGACTCATCCAGCAGGACGAGCTCATTAAAAACAGCTGGAAGCCAAACGGGTTGAGAAAAGGAAAAAAGGTTCTGTAGCCGTGTTGAGCAGACATGGTCCAGTTACGGCTCAGAGCCCCCTCTCAAACCTAAAACCTAACACCATGTCCGGTTTGTAAAGCAGGTGTGTGTTCCTGAGGGTCGTTTCAGTTTAAATAGAAAGCTGCAGCAGAACCAGTAAAGGAGATGTATCATCAGTTTGGAGAACGTTACGCAGGTTCCTTCCTTCTTTCTACATCAGTTTCTCCTCCTCTCTAAGCTAAGATCAGGAAGAAGATCCAGAAAAATATGGATGGTCGGATGTTTGAGTGGTTCTGAAGCCAAGGCAGAACCAGGTCAGGGTGAGGTTGGGGATTTACTGGTCCGGCTCTGTTCTGGAGGTCTGACAGCTGCATTCCAAACATGGATCATCTGATGATGTTGATCCATCTGCAGACGACGTGGCAGGATGACAGAGCTCCAATCAGAACCTTCCATCCATGAGTCTCCAGACTCCTCCTCTAGAACCGTCCTGGACCGTCCTCACTCAGGAAACTGCTGCAGGAACCAGAACTTTATTTCCTTTCTCTGCACATCTTCTAAATTCCCTAATAAGGGCTCATGAAGGTTGTAGATGTTTCCCTGGATGATGCGTAGTTCGGTATCTTCTGGTTTTAGGAACATGGCCGCCGAAAGAGTCTCTGCCTCAAAAACAGGATTTCCTAGAGAGAACTGGTGGGACCAGCGTACCTTTAGAACATCATGGATGGATCAGAAAGGAAGAACTTTACAGCTCGATGATACAAAAATGGAGCCGTTTGGAACCAATGAGAAGGATGGAGGGGGCAGCATCATGCTGCGGGTCTGGAGCATTGCAGAAAAGAGATAATGAGGTAGGAGGTCCTCCTCCAGAACTGCAGCTTGTTGTTCCAGCAGATCATCAACAAAGAGAAAAATATTAACTGGTTTCAGTGGGTCCATGAATGTCCATGAAGCTCCATGAAGCCCCATTAAGGTTCATGAATCTCCATGAATGTCCAAGAAGCTCCATGAAGCCCCATTAAGGTTCATGAATCTCCATGAATTTCCAAGAAGCTCCATGAAGGTCCATGAAGTCTATGAAGCTCCGTGAAGTTCCATGAAGCTCCATGAAGGTTCATGAAGTCTATGAAGCTCCTCGAAGGTCTATGAAGCTCCATGAAGGTTCATGAAGCTCCATGAATGTCCAAGAAGCTCCATTAAGGTCCATGAAGGTCCATGAAACTCCATGAAGGTCCATGAAGCTCCATGAATGTCCAAGAAGCTCCATTAAGGTCCATGAAGGTCCATGAAACTCCATGAAGGTCCATGAAGCTCCATGAATGTCCAAGAAGCTCCATTAAGGTCCATGAAGGTCTATGAAGCTCCATGAAGGTTCATGAAGCTCCATGAATGTCCAAGAAGCTCCGTTAAGGTCCATGAAGGTCTATGAAGCTCCATGAAGGTTCATAAAGCTCCATGAATGTCCAAGAAGCTCCATTAAGGTCCATGAAGGTCTATGAAGCTCCATGAAGGTTCATAAAGCTCCATGAATGTCCAAGAAGCTCCGTTAAGGTCCATGAAGGTCCATGAAGGTCCATGAAGCTCCATGAATGTCCAAGAAGCTCCATTAAGGTCCATGAAGGTCTATGAAGCTCCATGAAGGTTCATGAAGCTCCATGAATGTCCAAGAAGCTCCGTTAAGGTCCATGAAGCTCCATGAAGGTCCATGAAGCTCCATGAATGTCCAAGAAGCTCCATTAAGGTCCATGAAGGTCTATGAAGCTCCATGAAGGTTCATGAAGCTCCATGAATGTCCAACAAGCTCCGTTAAGGTCCATGAAGGTCCATGAAGCTCCATGAAGGTCCATGAAGCTCCATGAATGTCCATGAAGCTCCATGAAGGTTCATGAAGTCTATGAAGCTCCTCGAAGGTCTATGAAGCTACATGAAGGTCCATGAAGCTCCATGAAGTTCCATGAAGCTCCATGATGGGTCCATGAAGGTCCGTGAAGGTCTATGAAGCGTCATGAAGGTCCATGAAGCTCCATGAAGTTCCATGAAGCTCCATGATGGGTCCATGAAGGTCCGTGAAGGTCTATGAAGCGTCATGAAGGTCCATGAAGCTCCATGAAGGTGCATGAAGCTCCATGATGGGTCCATGAAGGTCTATGAAGCGTCATGCAGGTCCATTAAGCTCCATGATGGGTCCATGAAGGTCTATGAAGCGTCATGAAGGTCCATGAAGCTCAATGAAGGTGCATGAAGCTCCATGATGGGTCCATGAAGGTTTATGAAGCTCCATGAAGGTCCATAAAGCTCCATGAAGGTCCATGAAGCTCCATGATGGGTCCATGAAGGTCCATGAAGCTCCATGAAAGTGCATGAAGCTCCATGATGGGTCCATGAAGGTTTATGAAGCTCCATGAAAGTGCATGAAGCTCCATGATGGGTCCATGAAGGTTTATGAAGCTCCATGAAGGTCCATGAAGCTCCATGAAGGTCCATGAAGCTCCATGATGGGTCCATGAAGGTCTATGAAGCTACATGAAGGTCCATGAAGCTCCATGAAGTTCCATGAAGCTCCATGATGGGTCCATGAAGGTCTATGAAGCGTCATGAAGGTCCATGAAGCTCCATGAAGCTCCATGAAGGTGCATGAAGCTCCATGATGGGTCCATGAAGGTCTATGAAGCGTCATGAAGGTCCATGAAGCTCCATGATGGGTCCATGAAGGTCTATGAAGCGTCATGAAGGTCCATGATGGGTCCATGAAGGTCTATGAAGCGTCATGAAAGTCCATGAAGCTCCATGATGGGTCCATGAAGGTCTATGAAGCGTCATGAAGGTCCATGAAGCTCAATGAAGGTGCATGAAGCTCCATGAAGCTCCATGAAGCTCTATGAAGGTCCATGAAGCTCTATGAAGGTCCATGAAGCTCCATGAAAGTGCATGAAGCTCCATGATGAGTCCAGAAAAGTCTATGAAACTCCATGAAAGTCCATGAAGCTCCATGAAAGTCCATGAAGGTCCATGAAGCTGCAGCCACAGGTAGATATCTGGACTCGGACTGGGCCCTTGCATCTGTCTGATCATTTTGTTTTTCAGCGTTTGTTCCATAAACCTGCTGCCATGTTGGTTCAGTGGTTGGTCCAGGTTGGACCTCACTAACAGAACCCAGGCCCGTCTCTGCATCTTGTCCTCGGATCTCCTGTTTCCACCCACCACTGTCTGGTTTCCACCAGTTAGTCCAAGATCTTTGGACCTTCTGCTGTCAACTTTGCTGCTTATCAGCAGATCTTCTGATGCAGGAACTGGAAGTTCTGGTTCTGGTACCGTGGCTGCAGTGTTTTTGTTTGGATTATGAGTGAAAATCAACCTTTCCTACAAACCCCTGTTTAGATCAAACTGACTTCAGATGTTTTTTCCAGGACCAAACAAAGAAAGAATAAAAGTCTAACTCACGGTTTTAGAGGCTCCTCTCCAGCAGGTAGTCTGCTCCTTCTTCTTGTTCCTCTGGTTTTATCTCTGCACTCTCATATCTCCACGTTGTGCTCCGTCCTCCTCCCTTCACCTCCTCATCTGGACTCCTGCTGCCCTCATTATCTTCCTCCCTCACTGCTCCTCCACCTGTAGCTCCTCCTGCACGCGTCCTCTTCCCATCTCATCTGAAAAACTTTCTTGCTCCCACCCATAATAAAAGATTCATCACCCAGCGCCTCCTCCTCCTCCTCTCTCCCTCTCTCATTATTGCTGCGCTGTGATTGGCTGGCAGCCAGCCCCCTCTCTTCATCATTCCGTGTAGTCTTCCTCGCCTGCTGCCTCTCGCCTATCATGAGTGAAGTTCTGTGGGTTATTGCTTAGATCACATGTGGATTTAGAGCCCTTTTTCTCTGAATTAAGGGGACCGCTGGGATTAAAGGGAGGTGTTGGTGGGGAGATGCAGAGTAGCTCTTAGCAGTCATTGTTGCAATTTGAGGAATCAGGGATGATTTCTGAATTCTTCATGAAGGCTTGCCTTCTAAATCATCTCCAACCTCTCTGGTTTCCCGGGAATGTGGATTTTTTGGGTAGTTAAGTTAATAAAATGTTGCTAAATTAAATCCTCGGTCTGAAAAAAAAGATTAATATTCTCGAAACTCTTCGGATGTAACACATTTATTAAATAAATCAACCTGAGAATCTGAACCCTGCCAAGTAGGTTAATAAAATCAATGGTTTTATGTTTCGTTACCTTAAAATATACATGTTCATTGAACTGAATACTTTGTCATATAAAATTAGGGCCCTGTCACACCTTGGCGATTTATCCAACGTATGCCTAACGTCCCAGAATCTCCTAAAACGTGGATCAAAAAGCCGTCCTTCACCCGGCTCAATGGAGCTTGGACTTCACTCAGGTCAGGGATTATCGGTGAGCGCCTGGTGGTCCGGTTCCTCCTCATGGGAACCAGCCTGAAGGAGTGGTGCCAGGCCCCCTCATGGGCCAACCCCCTGCAGAGGCTGGATGATGCACACAGATAGGAGGCTGGGTATGATCAGATCATCATACAGTAGTAGAAATTACTGGCAGGTATAGAGGGCCCCAACATCCGATTGGCTTGGGGCCACATTGGAGGCTTTGGACAGCCCTGTAAAAAAACAAATCAAACAGGCAGTGGAAGCCTGTAGCTCCTTCATTTTCCTCTGAAGGTTCATAGAAGCCACAAAGCTGTAGGACCTCAGCAGGTTCATGCCAAAGGTTGATCATCAACCATCTCCTCCCTCTGGAGTTCGATGTCAGCTGGGTGGAGCATATCAAAACATTTAATGACAGAAAATAAAACATTAAAAAAACTGAGGATAATCGGACCGCAGCAGCTGCGGGGGGTGGGGGGGGGGGGGGGGGGGGGGGGCTCATCATTTAACAGTTCAGTCCAACTTCCTTTGAAGAGATACAATCCAGCCGATAGGCTGCCAACGACACGCGTGGGGTGTCCCAGATGCTCCGGAGAACATGCAGGAAGCAGGATCCAAGGTCGGGGAAAACAGATCAGGCAGGAACAGTACAGGAATCCAGGAGTTCTGAGGTTCTGATCCAAGCAGTAACAGAGGGTCAAGGCAGGTTCAGAGCCAGACGGGTCCAGAAGCGTGCCCCGATATACACACACACAGATGAAGATGGGCAGGCTCAGTGGTAGAAAGGAGCATAGACAAGACGTGCTTCCAGGGTAAATGCAGAATTTTAAACTGGTCTCCACCTTGGAGCCAGGCTTACGGGAATTAAAACTGACCTCCCCCACGTTCCGAGCCAAAACCCTGAGAGCTCAGCGGAGAAGAGCCGGGACACGACCAGGAGGCAATTAAAGAGAGAGCTGTTCTAAACTAAATTTCTTTTTGATTTACACTTGTGTAAACAAAACGACAGATAAATTGGTTTAAGTCTAAGTCTAAACCCTGTCAATCCACTGGCCTTCCAGAGTCAGGACATGAACCAGAAACTTAACTAAAACTTGTGAAACAAACATGAAAAACTGACGCAAATAAACTAAGAATACACAAATAATGATCTGGCCCCGATAGCTGGGCTCAATGGTATACATAACAGAGGAAGCAGGTGGATAAGATAAATGATAATTAGAGAGCGGGGAGGGAACAGCAGGTGACTACAGTGAGTAATCGCAGAAGCTACCGGGGCCAAGATCATGACACTGAGAGGATCCGCCTCTGTGACTTCTTCAGCACTTTAACTCTGATGTTCAATCAGAGACTAAGCAGAAGCTCTGAGAGGAGCAAAGCTTCAGCTCATGGAGACTCACTTCCTGCTTTCAGGAGGTTGATGTCTTCATGCGTGGCGGTGTAACGTTTCCATCTGAGATCACCTGAGAGACGAAGTGACCCGTGCTCAGGCTGCTGAGGACGAAGACATCATTGTCTCATAATGAGGCCTGAGAGACGATGAGGACGCTGCTCATGTTAATGAGTGGTGAGTTATTAGCATTTGAGAGAGGAAGCAGCAGAAACGCTCTTTTATCCTCACTCACGCTGCTGGAGCTGCTGCTGGACGTTGGTTTCATCTATTATTCATGAGCAAAGTGCATCCGCAGAAGAAAACATCTGACTCCAGCTGCGTTCAAAATGTGTCAAAGACGCTGGAACACTTTAATTAAACTCCCGCTGCTCCCCTAAACAACCTGAGGCCTTGGTTTGAATGAGCCATTGTCGGGTGATGCTGGAGGCACGACGAGTGCACGACTAATGAGAATCACCAAGACCCGCTCACACATTTCATTTGTTTCCTAATGGAGGGCAGATTTATTCCTCTTAGCTGCAGCATCGGCCGCTGAATCTAAAGGTTTATAGTAAAAAGCAAGAGGGGGAAACCATCAGGTTAGGATGAGCTGAAGGGTTAGAGATGGATTACAGCTTAGAGGGAGCATTTCCACTGGATTTACTGGTGGAGCCACACAAACCCCTGACAGCACTGGGTCTGCTAAATCAAACAGTCTTACACATGCTGCTTCACTTGCAAATTCTAACCTGGTTTAATAACTTAAATATAAATAATAACCTCTATTTCATCAGGAAAACAGTAAATTTAATATCTGAGGAGCAGAGAAATAGACATCCTGCAAATGTTAACTCTGCTGCCTACAAGTGGTGCTAAATGTAATTACAGGAAGAAAAAACCCAGTTTCTACTAATGGCTCAGAGTCAGGCATCCATTGATATGTATTAGTATAATAACATGTATAATTTTGCGCTCTCGTTCTCTTTCCTGATCTTTGCTGTGGTAGTTTTCTTTCTCGTTGATGTCTACTAATTTATTTTCACCGTCCCTTTATACCAATGTGGACACAGCGTTTCATTATGATTGGCTACTGGTATAAATAGATTTTTTTCTTTTAACAAAGATGACTTCCTCCATGTCTCTTTCAATCCATCAGGCCTCTCTGTCCATAATCTGAAAATTATGGACTTTAAAGGTGTCTCCTTTGTTCTTGAGCTGAATCTTGCCCAGAGTTTATGGCTCTCCGCTGCTGTTTTGTGCGTTTGTGTCGTTTTTGTTTGCTTTCACCAGTAATAGAGTCTGTTCAGTCCTCACTAGACTGGATCGCAGAAACAACTCCGCTCAGCTTTGGGTGTTCCGCCTTTAGGATGAACCAGTTTTTTCCTCAGTTTGCTGCTGGGTTTGAAATTCAGCAGTTTGTCGGGTTTAGAGAAAATCCTCCTGATGTTAACTGTCATAAAGGTTTGGATTGATCCAGCCTATGGTGATCAGCCCACTTTACTAAGAAAAGGGGAAGATTATTTCCCTTTTGTTCAGGACCAGTGGCGGTTCTAAACTAACCTGACTCTGCCAGATGGATTTGCTCCACATATCCATCTGGAAACCTTCCGTTGAAGTAATTTTGGGAAGGGGCGAAAATACTGGTTAGCTGATTGGCCTATGTTGGTGATAGACGGGCCAAATAAACCAATCAGATCAACGAAGCATATGACGTGCTAACAGCCAGGCTACTCTTGCCGAAGTCGGGAGGAGAGCAAAAACAACTTTTCCTCTGAGAAAAGCCTCCAGAGCAGTGTTTTGCTCTTCTTTCAGTGAAGAAATACTCTGTAATTCCGATAAAACTTGCTCGATAGCCACGCTAACGCTAGTTTCATCGGCTGAAGCCGCCATATTCTTTAGACTGAACTGTCGCGCTTCTCGTTGCGTCACACCTCAACCCGCCTCAAAGCCAACGCTGATTGGACGTTTGTTTGGTGAACGGCTCCACATTTTCTTCAAAGGAGAGTCTCCAGACTGATCTGCGAGTGAAACCTTGAAAGCTCGCGAGATCAGGATGGTCTCACGAGGCTAGTTCTAAACCAAATGTAGCAGGGGGCCAGGAGGGGGCCAGCTAGTTTTCATGGGGGCACTGAAAAGCATAAAATAAAAAACAGGGCAAGGGATTCAAATATATTAAGATAGCTGCATCAATTACAATTTCTATTGAATTAGGTAAAATTAAAAATTCTGTCTTATTAGGTCACTATAATTCATAATTTAGGAATTTTACATATTTCTGACTACATTTAAGTTAAATGAAATTATTCTCTATAAAATCTGTTATAGAACTCAAGAAAAACTGATAAATTCAGTATTTTCAGTATTGAGAAAACATTTAGCAGATGAAAACTGGGATCCACTGAAGCTATGACCTTATTGTTTTTAGATAATTAGTAAATGAAATAGATCCAAATAACCTATCAGTAACCATGTCTGTTCCAGTGGATATCATCATTAGAGTTTCTTTGAGTATTATGGCTTCAGTGCAGTGGCCATAACAGGGGCCAGCACATGATCTACAGGGGCAGTGACCCCCATTGGCCCCTGTCTAGAACCACCCATGTTCCGGACTGAAAGACACTCATCATATATCTGGAATAAAAATTTGGAAAGCCTCTCTTTAAATTAATTTGTTTTGATTGATTTTAATTAGTAATTGTCCTAAATGCTGATGCTGCTTATCCACTGCTAACAACTTATTAATAAAGCAGGATTAAATCTAGTTTTTTAATAAGTTGAATTGAAAAAAAAGATGACTCAAAAAGCTGAATTTTTCGAGTTTTATAATGAGTTCAGTGGTGTAAATGAATAGGTTTAGGGTTACAGCAGGCCCAGACTTTCTTTCTT